AAATCGTCAGCAGGGATCAAGCTTATTGCAAGGGTTTTGTAAACAATATCGGAATAAAGTTTCACCTAAATTTAGAGCTTCACATTGTTATGGGGCCTTCAAGCAGTTACAAAAACGAACAAACCTTGTCAACATAAGGGACAAATTGCTGTAGGAAACGCTTCTCACGATCTGTGGCAGCATTTGGATTGGATGGTGCGGAAGAATAGTGCCTGAATCGGGAAGAAATGGAACGACGAAAAAATAAAGAGAACGCTTCTACCTGCTGATAGCTAACTCCAATGCTTGCGGATTTGCGCCCTGAATTCGTTCCATTTCTCTGCCTTCTTTAATCAGAACGAAAGTTCGGCATAGCACGGATACCATACTGCCTACTTATGTCTGAAAAATATCAATTACATATTAGCAGAGAAAGTAGCGCAAGAGGATGTCACACCCTTGAAAAAACTGAGAAAAACGCAGGCGAAATGACTATCAGCATGAAACAGCACTAGGTAATCACAAGTGCAAAGTTTTTATGAAAATTATGATGTTTGAAATATATTCTCAATAAATATCGCTTTACATAATGATTTTTTTCACATGATGATTCAGCAGATTATATGCTGTACAACAGAAATAAACATCAAAAGTGTAATGCAAAAAAAGCTCAGAAATGTCAAAGGAATTTCAAAACTCCCTGACATTTTGTGAAAGCTTCGATCCGTGGCACCGTAGTCAGGTTGCGTTCATACTTTTCGCCGGCATTTTGAACGTCGTGACGGAAACGACAGCATAGGTATCGATCTAGCGTGGTTTTTCGCTTGAAACGCCGGTTTCACACCTATACTTCCCCATCAAGCGACGTGGCGTCGACGAAAAGTATGAATGCAGCTTTAGGGACTCTCTCGTCTGCCTTTGTTTAGGCCGTCTTCAGCCAGCGCCAGAATGGTAGAGTTTGCGAAAAGGACTCCACACGAACCAATTGTGCCATCTCTCATTTCTGCGGCTTCAAATTTCCCGTTCGCGGGACTAACACATATATTAATCTCTTGAGCGATTTCTAGATTCTTCGAACGATATTTTGTATGAATACGGACGTATAGGGTGCTTCTCCCTCCCGCCCTCAAAAAAAGGCCCAGATCTCCTCGAACTAACTCTCCGCGATCCGTAGAGCTATTAAAGGTGTCAGTCTATCTTGTTCCGCTACTATTAAAACAAATATGTCAGAGGCGGCTTTCGTTCAACCACATCATCCAAAAATTTGAAAAAAAACCACTAGCTCGTTCAGGTTCAAAAAAATATTCAAAAATGACCTGGTGAATTGTCGACATTGACCTTCAAAAATGTGGCATTCGTGAAGCGTGACGAAAACTGCTCCACAATAGGAGCAATGAATCGACATGGGCCACACCAATCAGCATAGAAATCCACAACGAAGAGGCGATTCCTGTCTGCTGAACCGATTTTCGACTGAAAATCTGCCAAATTTCGGGACAAATGGACAGGCATTGGTGCGACCTGAAATATCACCTATTATGCGGAATTTTATCTGATGAAAAATGAATGAAAAGTTTATTAAGAGGAAACAAGACTATGATGACGATGTGAAATGCGGCCGTGTTGGCCGTGGGTCACGTCCAGAAATAGGGCACACATGTGCGAAAAGAAAAAAAGGATAAATTGATCAATGCGAGATGTATCAAAATTACTAGAGGTCCATCCAACTTCTTGCCCTCATAAAATGTCGGCAAAAGATTCGAAGCATGATATTCAATGGATCCCTTTTTTCAATGCTCCACTCAAAAACCGGGTTGGACCACCCATAACGCGGGGAAGTGTACAACACGACCAGCCTTCCTCGGCCGATAGCCGCAGAAATACAAAGTTCTATGCTGTCAGAGCATTAGAATGAGCCAGAAAATAGGATATGGTCCAGGGGTGAATGCCGTCCCTCCTGGGTCGGAGTGAGCGCGGCGAAGGAGGGGCAGAAGACGGATTCACGTGCGTACCCATTTGATTCAGCGTGGCAGTGCTGCGTTGTTTCAAGTCAACTAGCAAGAAAACAGTGCTAGTTCGCTCGTGATGTTTGCAACGCGTCAGCAACGATATTCTCCCGTTGTTCAGTACATCCGGGGCACGATACTAAGGTGATAACATAGCTGGGCTTAGCCAGGCTTAGGGTACAATATCGGAATGGCTGGGATGGCGGTATCAGTGCAACCCCATTCTCACCTACCGCCTTATGAACTTTTTCCAATGCCCAATCACTTTCCTATCCAGGGCGTGGTACAGCATTAGTGAAGTTTTTCATGATCACGTCCCTCCACCTTATTCTCGGAGCTCCTCGAGGTTGCCTGCCTTGTGCTTCGAAGTCTAGCACCTTCCTTATCGAGTGTTCTTCGGACCTTCTCAGCATGTGTTCCATACCACCGCAGCCGCTGCTCGCGTGCCTTTGAGCTGGATTGGAGCTGGACTGGAGTCTGTGTGACCGCGTTGACGATTTCGTTTCTGATTCTATCTAGTGGTGTCCAGCCGCAGGCCCATCTCAGCATTCTCATTTCAGCTGAGTGGAGCTGTTTTCATGGTTTTTGCATGTGGGCCAGAGCTCGCTGCCGTAGAGCATCGTCGGCCTCACTACTGCCCTGTATATTTTTGCCTTTGATGTCGTGGAAGCATCGCCGATCGGAAGTGCCTTGTGGACTCCTCTCGCATTATTCAAGGCCGCACTTACTCTAGTCTTTACTGCCTGGTCACGCATCCATCATGGGCCATATCGCTTCCCAGTTAGCGGAAGTTCTCCAGCTTCTCGATGGACTCTCCATGATTGTCCCTGGATGGGCTCATGCACTTCCTCGGAGCTGAGAAACTTGGTCTTCATGACGTTCAACCTGCAGCCGCTCTTAGCCTACCTTCTGCCATTTTTGTCCTGAGGTTCTTCTCTGCTCTCCGCTATTAGGGCGATGTCATCGGCGTAGAGGATGGTCTTGATTGGCCCATCTTTGAGTTCCTTTGCCATCCATAGTTAGTAGGAAGATGAAGGGGCTAAGAGTTATGTCTACCTCGTTTGTAAGGCCGTGCGGGGTGTGTGCTGTCGCTTTTGCCCCTCTTCTGAGAGCAGCTAGCCGATCCTTTTCGACTTCGGTAAGGGAGTAAAGTTCCTTACGGCATCGGGTCACAAAGGTAATAACTCACAATTTTAGGACGTGATCTGAGCTGTTTCCACACGGTAAATAGCCGTCGGAGAACATATGATTTCCTAGAAAAGGAAAATCTCCTCAACACAGTCAACATAGTGAAAAATTCTATTCATCGCACTGGTATCGGTTGATTTTGAAATACCGACAATAGCAGCTAATCCGTTCTTTTCTGTTCATGCAATGCAAGTGGGGTGGGGGTATGAAGGTTTATATACCTTTATTGACGAGACGGGGTGGTCTCGTTGTAGTTGCGATGGAATACAATGTAGTTGAGACGGGGTGGTCTCTAGGTAGTCCGAGACGGGGTGGTCTCGGTGGTGGACATGGTAGAATGCTCACTTAATCTAGGCGTGCCTCTCAATACAGGAGAGGTCACGCATCGAGTATCTAACTATTTACCTATGGGTCATAATCACATGTCTCAAGTTTGCCTATGGCTTACACGTATCAATCAGGTAGTCGTAAAAGGATGCACCGGTAGGTTCTGGTGACAATCCAGAACACTCCGCGGGGGGGGTGTGGAGGTGGCGACAACTCGCGTGCGGTTCCAAAGGGCTAGCGTTCCTAATCACAACAAACGCCTCTTTTGAAGCGAGGACTTCTTTCACTTTTCCGTGATTTCCACGTTGTTCTAATCATAGTTCTCATTCGTTGACCCAATCGAGTTGTCTAACAGTGTAGAGTTCCGCCACTGTTTCAAGATATGCTTGTAATCGATCGCTCTTGATCAGTAGATCTAATGCGACTGACAGAATTTGGATCCGTTAAGGCAGAAAAACTAGCACAGAGGTACTTCGCCCACCTTTCCTGAACAGAACTAGAAGCCAACTGGGTCGACTGTGTGTCCATTCAAATATACGAATATTTATTCAGCAAATAAGGTGCAATACGCGTTGTATTCGTCTACTATAACGCAATCGAGCGATCGTTTTGAGCACTGTTGATTTGGAGAGACCGGTCAGACCGCATTGACTCTTGGTAGTACAGCAAAGTATCGTAACAGCGGTAAGACGTGACTTTCGGGAATACAACTGAGTACTCTTGGATTTGAAAAGACTGCGTAACAGCGCACAAAAAACACGCAGAAAGGTGCCAGATTGGTAAAAGAGACACGCCGCGCACACGGCCGCCACAGATGCCAATATGCGTATACGATATTCACGAAAAATCACTGTAATGTTGCTTTCGAAGCACCCGACTACCATCAGTATCGTATTTTAGTGGATTCAGGGTCTACCTTAAGCCTCACACATCTTCATGGTGAACATGGGCGTGGTCAGCTCAAAAATCACCACAGCTTCACATAGCTTCATTTGAAGAATCTTTCAGCAGATATGGAAAGCCAGTTTGTGGTTATCGTCCGAAATAGTATGCATTCCTTTCTCGAGTGGCCACTTCTACCTACAACTACCCTTCCCTGATTAGCAGTTTAGCCACATGTAGTGTCATTGCAATATGAGTGAAAATTTCCAGAGGCACGTAACAGCTACTTTGGAGCAAGGTTCGCCTTTATTGTCTTTCTGCGCTTTTAACAGTTAGGAACTATGAGCCCCATCGAGAAGGGGGCGGCACAAATGGTGCTGTATACGTGGATGGGCTGAGTACAATGGCCGCGTCATAGAAAATCATATTTGTAAATTCAAATGCAAATCACCAACAAAGTATGAACCGTAATAAGCGTTGAAAATGCATAGTCATAGCGAGATCGAAATCTGACGACTCCGTAAAATAATGGGGAAACTTAAAAAAACTAACACTCCCAGTAGAAGTTCTTAGCAAAATTTCTTAGCGAAAATTTCTAACGAGTGTCGAAGGTAAAGTTCAAAGCAAAGTTCGGCAGCGCGATGAGTGCCAGCGCACATAGTTTTTTTAGATTTTGGCTTGTTGGATACGCTATCATAGAATAAGCGGATCTTACCAATGCGATTCCCATTTCAGGAACTCAAATCGTGATTCAGATGCAAAAGGAGTGGTTTCCTTCAAACAGCAGTACTTACTCGAATTTAAACCAAGTCTTTATTAATGTTATTACTGCAGTTATTAGAGTAATACACATAACTAATGATATTCACTGCTACGATGCACGTTAGATGAGAATGTAATGCGAAACATGGAGTAAATATTGTGAGATGTAAGTATTGTCCAACAAGCACTGATTCGTTGTGCTAGAAGCCAAGTGGATTTGTTGTGAACCACTGAGCTGGGAAAGGGTTTTCAGGAGTTGCCTGAAAAGGACGTTATCATTTTGTGGTGCTGAAGATTCCAAGAAAGCGAATTTGCTTTGTTTCGCTATTATGACAAATAGGATCATTCAGAGAAGCGTGAACGATCGTTCTGGATGGAGAGAGTAGAAAAGCAAAACAAAGTCGTAAAGAGTAGTGATTTTCAGCTGTCTTTACTGTTCACTGTTACTGTTCTCCCTTAACCCCCTTAAACTGAACCTGAGGCGAGTACCGACAGAGCAGCATTCGTTGTCCCACACCCCCATTAGAGCTACGCCCGGACGGCAAGGCTGCAAGGATCTCAGGAAAAAATACCGAAACGAAAATACACCACAAGGAAACCCTTCTGTTCTCGGAAAACGCGGCAGCAGAAGCTTCGGCGGTGTGACGCGTTTAGCCACGAACATCCATTCGTACAGAGCCAAGCCTCTTCTTTTTCAGGCTTATCGGGTAGTTGCGAAGACTATCCGTATTTTCACAAATCTGGGGGACCTTTTTCATCGACAAGGACGTAGAACATTCTTTTCGGTTAAAAAAGGCTCTGTAACGACCCAAACGTGCATCAAAAAGAAGTCGATAGTCTATGATTGAATCCAGCACAGTCAGCGCAGAATGTAGCAATGTCAGCTTCCAGGAGAGGAGGAGGAATGTGGACTATCACTCAATAATGAGGGCGTACAAGCAGCGATCTGTCTCTCGCCAGCAAGTACAACTTGCCAGATTCAGTCGCATTCAAAAAATGACCACGTAGTTAGCCAAACTCCAATCTACTCAATTTCTCTATCTGGGGTTTACACAAGTTCAAGTTATCGAAGGCACCATTGCAGAAGGCATGGGATCCGTTGTATGCCACTTGCTTCCACGCCGCAGTGAACTCATTTTCCAGGAAACTTTGAGCTCGTGCTCAAGTCAATGGAGGTAGTTTCGAGGGAACTGTGCTTATTGACCACTTTTCTTCCCTGGGAACAAACAGAAATATCTGTTCTCTTGTTTTCCTAGCATATATAGACGGTGATGACAATGGCATTCAGGTACCGTTGAATAGTCGCCATCCGAGGTGGTCGTCATGACACAATTGCATTGGTTAGAAAAAGCGCGTGAACTAAAAGGTGGGCAAGACAGCGTAAAAATGAGGCTGCTTTACAGGTCTTCTTTTCTACCTGTATATTGCGAAACGGAAGCGGATTGGGGATTCACGTTGCGTGATGCGCGGCAACTATCCAGTATTATCTAGTCAATCGGCTCGACATGCTCTCGTTCTTTTAAACTGAACTAGTGTAGTGCTGGTGCGAAAGCAGTGCAACTGACACCTTTTGCAGCGCGGCACGCTCGATGCTCGGGACTGAGGGTCCCCAGGGCACATCATTGTTGGGGATTTAAGTCGAGTCTGTACACCCCCCTCCCTTTTTTTTGGAGGTGGTACGACCCCTCCCCCCTCCCAACAATGACCAAGTACGACCCCCCCCTTTACAACGTCCGTGAAGCGAGAAAAATCAACTATCAAAATAAATTTTTCCCAGCCCAAATACGACCCCCTCTCCTGGCGGCCAAATACGACCCCCCTATTGGGGATTCCCCAACAAAGATGTGCCCTGAGGGTCTCTCTCGAGACTCGTACCTTGTAGTAACCTCTGCAAGTGACAAGAGGACCTATATGCGAGAACTGCTCTGAAGCAAATGTTCCATGAAGAACTGATTAAAGGCTCAGTATTTGGAACGCACTTTTTTGGTTAGAGATTTGCTCCAAGTTGCAAATTTCTTGCCGTCACTAACGGATAGCGGTAGGTCGACGCTTGCTGGTGCTTGGCTCACATCCCTACTGAAAAGAAAAGTAGGTTGAAGGATTTAGTGTACCTCGGAACTAATAATTGCATTTGAAATGTACTTTACAGCCGTCGATGTACTCACTACCGTCAGTTTCGCCTTCTTGTCCTTTGGTTCCCAGTCAAAGGGGTCCGTGAACCTGCTATTGAAATTACGTTTTTAACATCGTGTTTTGATCGATTTTATTCTGCCTATAGCTTTATTGTCAAAAGTCGAATTTCTCGGAGTTGATCACCCCATCGGTGAAATGGACCACGCGTTCTCATTTAGAATCGCACTGCCTTTTGAATGCTATGCATCCTTGGCAACGACAAGGAGGTGGGTGTTGCGTATCTTCAGGTCCAATTTCAACCCACAAGGCAAGCACTGGATAATCGAGGAGCCTTTTTCAAGAGAAATCTTTTCGTTGGTGGTGCAGTTAAGGCAAAAAAAAAATGCTAAATAGAAAACCTCTCTCTCACTTGAATTTTCCGGCTTTCATTATCTCCATAAACAGGCCATGTATTAAAGCATAATCGGGATGACTGTAGTAGTTTAACGAGCTGAATAGTTTTTTCCTTCATTGTAGAAGTTTCGATTGCATTTGCACTTCGGTACTGGACGGACAATGCTGGACTTGAGCTGATGAGCTTTGTTTCTACGCCATATTTTCGATTTTTTTGATTAGGGAAGGGGGCATTCCCTCCATTCTCGGCGACGTGCACGTGAAATCGTCCCAAGACGCTGCAGACAACAATGGCGAGGTATTTTACCATACAAGTTGTTATGCAGGCAATATTGGCCGCGCAGATCCGAAAGGCTACCAGTTACTCCAGTACTGCTTCAATTAATTTCGAAATCTTACTCGAGATGTCGTGCAATCTTTACAAATTGAACAGGGCTGTTCCTCAATAACGTCTCATGGGAAGTCTGCTTTTTTGACTCGTTGATATCTTTCTTTTCCCTTAAGTAATTACCATGAAACGAAGATAACCTGATTTAATCGTAGAAGATGGATGGATACCTTAGATTAGACCATGGTAAACTGCCGCGCATCTCAGCGAGCATATACAGCACACTCCACAAGTCATCTACTCTTCCCTGTTCACCTTTTTCATGCGTATTCACCGAGCAATACCGTGTAGTACCTCTGAAGTATAGGACTAAAGTTTGGAAGAGGGCTTCTACATAAGGAACATAGATGTACGGTTTCATTGTCAGTGGTTCATTTTGCTC